TGTGTGACCTGTCCGATGGTGTGGTTCTGCAGGAGCCAGCCTGTGTACAACACCTCCAGAGAGTCTCCATTTTCCACTCCTTGGCCCTCGCCAAGACTCAGATCCTGAACCACCACAGTATCTAAAGAGGATGAACTGTTTGCTTTCGCCAAACATATCTGATGATTAAAGGAAAGACATCCTCAACAAATGAAGAACATACCTTTTTTTTTTTTTTTTTTTTTTAATCAGTTTACTTATACAGAGGTTTGAAAACCAGCCATGATACCTGTAAGCCTTATAATGTCAACACACACTTCCTGTTTGTTCAGTTACTCACTGTGTACTATAATTACGATCTTATTTGTGGGTCTCCTTTAGTGTTGCTCACCTCTTTGCAGAAGTCCACTGCAGTTTTATCGGATTCAAACATTAGGGACCAGTTCTGCCTCTGATCATCATAAAAAGTGCAGTAATTGTTTGGCTGTACCTGCAGGAGATTAAGAATATGTGGCCATGAACACTGTGACAAGACAACACTGTGAGAAAATCTGTAGTGTCATGATTTATCTTTTGTGAAACTGCTGTTGTTGTGGTATTTTTCTACACAGTAACAGACTGTTATAAAGTGCACCATGAAAGTGTAGTTTGTGAAAATGGAATTGTAATCAACTGATACATCTAAAAAAATATAAAAAATCTCAAAACTGTATTTCACATTTTTGTAATAACTTGCAGCTGTAACACACATAATACTGAAAAACATAAAGCAATGGGAAGAAATATAGACATATTCGTGTAGTAATATTATTATTATTACCTGTAAATGTGTGCTTGGAGTTGTAAACTTATATCTTGATTTGTATGAGCAGACTCAAATTTGTGAACATGAGCATAAATCTGTAAATGTGTCATCTGAGTCGCACATGTACTTAGGTTTGTCTTTCAAATGTCTACACAAATATGAATGTGTACTGAGACTGATAAATGTGTGCATAGGTCTGTAATTGTGTATATGTCTGGTAATGTCAATGCAAGGCTGTCAATGTGTACTGAGAGTAGTAGAAAGCAAACCTTGTTAACTTGATGCATAATCATTATTCTAAAGATTATTTTTAATTTTAAAAAAAAAGACAAAAAAAATGTCATATGTTTTAACATAAAGTGTGATATTCATTTAGTGCATCAGATTATCTGCTTGTACATCTGCTATGACTGTACTCACAGTGAAAATAAAGCCCACATGAATCTTGGCAGCAGCCACTTGTTTCTGTTGGCTCAAGTACAGAAGCAGCTTGTACTGCAGGAAAAAAAAGAGTAGATTTTTCATAAAAATCAAAAGCCAAACTCATAATCTCAAACAAGTGACCAATAAGCAGATCTTCAACCTCTTTTGTTGTGTGGCTACCCAGTACCGCTGCTCCCAGTTTCCCCTGCTTCACGTATTGTCCATTAGTACTGCACACGACAAATGGCAGAAAAGCTTTTCAGTGGGTTCGGCAAAA